ATACTTCGTGAGTCGGCTCTTGCAAGGAGCCGAGCTTCGATATCAACGGCTGGAGAAGGTGGCTTTTGCCCTTCTAATCTCGGCAAGGAGGCTCTGAGCATATTTTCAAGGACACAGGATCCTGGTGCGATCCGACCTGCCAATCCGACAAATACTCCATAAGCCGGATTTGGCGGGAAGGATGATGAGTTGGGCGGTGGAATTATCGAAATTTGACATAACTTTCGAGAGCCGTAAAGCGATCAAGTCTCAGGCGTTGGCCGACTTCGTTCGCGAGCTCACATCAATCCAAACGACGGATCCTGCTGGCCTGGATACATGGAATGTGTATGTTGATAGGTCTTCTAATGCAAAGGGAAGCGGAGCCGAGGTAATTATTGAAAACCCTGACGGCGTTGCAATTGAGTACTCTATGCAAATGGACTTTGAAACTTCCAACAACCAGGCCGAGTATGAGGCCCTCATAGCCGGACTGTTGCAGGCACAAGAGCTCGGAGCTCGAAAAGTAAAGGTTTACAGTGATTCTCAGTTAGTCACCTCACAAATTGAAGGAAGTTACTAGGTCAAAGGACCCCTACTGGCCAAGTATCTTGAGCATGCAAGACGAATAATGGCAGATTTCGAAAAAGCAGAGGTTAGTCACATTCCAAGAAGTGAGAACAGCAGAGCGGACATATTGTCCAAGCTGGCGAGCATAAAGGGATGGGGAAACCACCGGACCGTGAATGAGCAAAGTATCCTAGAACCGACATGCATCATGCAGATTTCCCAGGTGAATGATTGGCGTACTCCCATTATTGAGTACGTCGAAAATGGAACGTTGCCTGTCGAGAGAGCAGACGCCAAGAAGCTAATCCGAGATGCAGCGTCATACACCATAATAGAGGGACAACTTTATAAGAAAGGTATTTTCACACCTCTATTAAAATGTCTGAACTCGGATAGGGCCCAGTATGTTTTGGCGGAAATCCATGAGGGAATTAATGGGCAACATGTTGGCGGAAAGACGTTAGCCCGGAAGGCTCTTCGAGCTAGATACTTTTGGCCGTCCATGGTCTACGATGCGAAAGACCACGTACAGAAGTGAGATCGGTGTCAGAAGCACGACAGGAACTTGTTGGCTCCCCCTGAGGAGTTGAGTATAATCACGGCTCCCTGGCCGTTTTACAAATGGGGAATGGACCTCTTGGGTCCATTCGCAGCAGCTGAAGGCCAGCTTAAATGGTTAGTGGTGGCAGTTGATTATTTCACTAAGTGGATTGAAGCGGAACCAATCGCGACCATCACTTCGGCCCAGATTCAACGATTTCTGGAGAGGAACATAATATGCCGGTTTGGGATTCCGGCCGAAGTGGTAACCGATAACGGGACTCAATTTGCAAGTAAAGGGTTGCAGAACCTGATGGAGAATTTCCACATCCGGCATCGCTTTGCCTCGGTTGAACACCCTCAAACAAATGGCCAAGCAGAGGCTGCAAACAAAGTCATCGTAGAAGGTCTTCGAAGGCGAATAGAGCAATCCGCCAAAGGAAGGTGGGTTGAGGAGTTATATTATGTCTTGTGGGGGTACAGAACCACAGTTCAGACTTTTGTTGGGGAATCCCCATTCAGGCTAACCGACGGGTGCGAGGCTATGATCCTGGTAGAATTGGGAGAACCATCTTGGAGAAGGGTTCAAGCCTTGTCGCAAGCAGAAGAGGAGAACAACAGCAAAATAGCCTTAGAACTGGATCTGATAGATGAAGGTCGAGTCATGGCGCACTGCAGAAATGTTAGCGCCAAACAGCTCGTGGCTAGTAGGTTCAATAAGAAGGTGAAGCCCAGGATATTTGAGACAAAGGACTTGGTGCTCCGAAGAGCAGATGTCGGAGGACGAAACACAGCTGATGGGAAGTTGGCTCCAAGATGGGAAGGCCCGTTCAGAATAAAAGAAAAGCTTTCAAGAGGAGCCTACGTTTTGGAAACCCTGCAGGGGAAACGACTGGCAAGAACATGGAACGCGGATAAGCTGAAAAAGTATTACAGTTGATGAAAACCTTAATGCCTTTCTTTCATCTTTCCTTTTATTGTATTACGTAATTTGAATTATGAATAAATTTGAACAACTTTTGTTTCCTCTTACAATTGAGAATACATTATGAAGCAACAGGACTAAAGTGTTTCTGCCATGGAAGATAAAACCGAGGTATTTGAACCTAACCCGCCAAATCGACGGGCTTAAGAGTTCTAGCCTTGCAAGGGAATCCGGGGTATTTGAACCCATCCAGCCCAACGGGCGGGATTGAGCGTTCTAGCTCCGTAAGGCAATCCGGAGGTATTTGAACCCGTCCAGCCAAACAGGCAGGATTGAGCGTTCTATCCTCGTAAGGCAATCCGGAGGAATTGAACCCGTCCTGCCCAAAGGGTGGGATTGAGTGTTCTAGCCACAGAAATAGACACGAGGTATTTGAACCCGTCCAGCCCAAAGGCAGGATAAAGTGTTATAGCCCCGTAAGAAAATCTGTCGGATTTGAACCCATCTCACCCAAAGGGTGGAATTAAGTGTTCTAGCCACGGAAATAGATTCGAGGTATTTGAACCCGTCCATCCCAAAGACAGGATAGAGTGTTCTAGCCCTGTGAGAAAACCTGTCAGGTTTGAAACCGTCTCACCCAAAGGGTGGAATTGAACGTTCTAGCCGCGGTAACAAACTCGAGGTACTTGAACCTGCCTTGCCTCAAGTGATGGTTAGTGTTCTAGCCCTGTAACTCGGGACAAGGTATTTGAACTCGTTCTCCCAAGAAGGGATCAAAAGTGAACGGAGGAAACGATATATACGGAGTAAAGATATGCTAAATCAGTATATCCGAATTTACCAAATATCATTTAGAGCAAAAAACAGCGACCAACATGCGGCCTAGAATTTGTAAATGTCAATTTAAAAATCAAGAATACAAAATACCCCGGCATTCCGGGTCTTCAAGGTTGATCCGAGATGTGGGGAAAAATTTCTCTCATTTCTTGCTCGAATTGCTGTGCGGCGGCTTCCATCACCGGATTCCCGGGGGGAGGTGCATCGTTGTTGGTTTCGGTCTCCGTAGCTGACGGGAAGAACGTGTCGCCCAAGACATATCCAAAGCAATCCAGCTGGTCCGTGTTCAGGGTCGCGTCTGGATTGAAGTGCTTGATTTGATTGACGACATTGTTGAAAGCAGTTTCAGCAGCGTTCTCCAGCACGGATTGACTATTGTCATAATCAGCTTGCAAATTCTTGACATCAGTCTCCAGCTTCTGGACCCGCTGATTCAAAGCAACGTTGTTACTCTCTGACTCGGATAGTGATGACAGTTTTCCTTTGATAAAGTTTATAATGACCTCCTTATCTGCCTCAAGGCCGAAGGAGTCCGAAATAAGCTTCATGTCAGCCTGATATTGCTCCAAAGATGCTGCCGAAGCAGCAGCAGATATGGTCAAATTCTTATTATCTTCAACCAGCTTTTTGTGCTCAGCTCGGAAGGTATCCCCTGTCGGTCTGGAAGGCATCCTTCTCAGCATGAAGCTCGGAATGCTTCTCCAGTAGAACCGAATACGGTTTCACCAAAGAGGCCGCTTTGTAAGTATACAGTTCGGCCATCTCCAGCTCTTTCACTTGGGCCTCTGACAAAATGCCGGTCCCGTAAAATTCTGGCGGCGGACGAGTCACTCTGGTTGCCCACAGAGCGCCTCTCCTGAGACCGGCAGGAAGGGGTGAGGAAGCCGGATTACCATGTTTCGTAGATGTCACAGCCCCGGCAACCCTAGTTGACTTTGCAGGGGCGGATGTTTGGTAACTCCCAACGTCCAGCCAGCTGTCATCACTGGTTAAATACATCCCGGAGACGGTGGTTGTCGCTGGAGGAACGATGCTCGTCCCAGCAGGAGGACTCGTGGTCTGTGGTCGCTTGAGGGCATGGGATTGAGTCCGAGCAGAAGACTTCCCTCGCCGGGCTAGAACGTAGTCCGGAACCTTGTCCGCAGAAGGATTCATTTAGGAACCTGCACACAGGAAAACGCAAGCCGGGGTTAGTAAGTAACATACTTACAATGCAAAATATGAACATGTACGCATAAATCCATACTAGTTTGGGGAAGGTCGGCTGTAGACTTTGCCACTAAGGAAGCAGCGCTCAGATGCCCTTGAGCCCCGATGTGAGCTAGCAAAGCCTTCGCGTGTGCCTTTTCCTCCGCTGACAACCCCAGCCGGTAATCTCCCGGCTTCCGCAAGTGGTGATCATATGACCAGTACAAGGGGAATTTCCCTTCCCCATTCTCGTGGAGAAACCACGGCTTGGCACCAACCTCGACAACGACTTTAAAAAATGCACCTTTAAAGTCTTTAAAGGAGTCACTGTATACTGAAAACAATCTTCTAGACTCCGGCTTCTTTCCTCCACGACCCCGTATGCTGGTCCACCCCTTGAGCTCAGCAGGTTCGGACCCGGTTCGGGGGGTGTATATATTAAGAAAATAAAAGAAAAGGGGACGGTGCTTGATACAGACAACGAAGTGCACAATTTTTCGAAGGCAACAATATAAGCCCAACCATTGGGATGAATTTGTGTGGGGGCAAGGTGAAGGTGATTCAGTAATTGAATTTTGAAAGCAGAAAAAGGAAAACGAATACCAATTTCGGTGATTAAGTCACGATAGCAGAAGAAAAATGGAGGTTCTTCGGGATTCCGGCCCGAGCAGACGGCTTCGTCTTCAGCAGGGTAGAAAGTATCAAATCCCACTGGGTTGCCTATGGGAAGCCCGGATATCTCCTCAGTTGTCATGTATGACCGGAAGCTAAGCACCTCCTCGGTCACCCAGGGAAACTGCTTACGAAGAGTTGTATCAACGGCAAAAGAGCCTTGCTCGGCGGGGCTGGTATCGACTTCTCGACCATGACTTGACGAGGTCATTTCAGGGGAAAATTCTGCAGAAGGAGACTCCATCAAAACCTAGAACAGCAAAAGTGGGGGATTAAAAACAGAAATAGTATGTGACAAAAAGTGTACGTACCTGAGCTAAACAAACTAGCATAAGAAGAGTCAGACGAATCATCAGAAGAAGACAAGGAAGCAGAGGCAGGATCTGGTAAGCCAGGATAATGGGTGCAACTTCCTAGCACCGCATCGGCCATAAAGTCGTTCCCTCTCTCAATAAATTGGCTGCTAAGATAGACACAGTTAAAACACGGATCTATGTTCTTAGCGCCTGGGATAATGGTTTCAGACTGAACAGGAACTTGAACCCGGGTGAGGCTTGAAGCCGGGTTAGAAGCCGAATTGGCGGAACCTAAACCTCTACCTAGATTTGGGTTGGAACGTCGGGATGGAACAACCGGGATACGACCAGATCGTTAACGGCGTCCTCGTGGGGGAGGACGGGATGAAGAACTTCCTCCGCTTCTACTGCCGCGATAGCTCCTAAGTAGGGAGGCTTGCGTTTCGTCCTGGGTCCGAAGTATACCATATAACCAAAACCTCGCGCCGGGGGGGAGGCTCTGGATGTATCTATCCTCCTCCCGTATGGCTTGTTCTTCATCCTCCAGTAGAATCTCATCACTACGGCCAAAAACACGAGGACAGGTGGACGTCCCTCTACCGTGCAAATTCCCCCCGGTCATGCTATTAAGGGGAGAGCAAGGCAGCCCACAGTCAAGTACCCAAGGAAGAACATTGCATTAACAAGCAAAGTATCCTAAAATGTGTGTGCCTAAGTATGCATAGCTAAAGCAAGAATACCCAGAGACAGAAAACGCGTCCCTGTCGAACATACATTCGAGCAAAAGGAAAATCAAAGCAAGAGAGGAAGAAAAACAAAGTAGGTTGGAGCGCATACCTGGTGCAAGTGAAGGATGCGAGAGGTGGCAAACGACGAGAAACTGATGAACTGAAGGAAGTCCTTTGGAATGAAATACAGGAAATGTTGAAGGAAGCCTCTAAGCGTAATGAAGCAAATAAGGTAATGAGAAAGGGAGAAGCGCAAATCAAATAGATGAAACCCGCGAAACCAAAGGTCAAGGGTAAAATGGTAACTTCATAAGGAAAGACAGTTGAAAGGACGCTGAGGCAGTTGCAATAA